GAGTGAGCGGACAGACCAAGGCGGCCGAATGTCATTGCTACCAAGACTAGGGAACAGAGAAGGGACATTTTTTTAAAAAAAGTAACAATAATTTGAGAGCTAACTCATCTGAGCAGACCCAGGAGATAGCTCTCTGAAAGAGGGCCCCCCGACATGCCTGCTTTGCCCACGACCCTAATCACCACGAGAAGAGACTGGCAGTGACCGAGACAGAGAGGGAAGCCCCCTTGTCCTCCCCACTTCTCTCAGGATGATGGTCTGCCTGGCGATACTGCAGAGATGAGGCTCTGAACTGGAAACACAGCTCCTTGAAAAAAGGGTGCTGTTAGGTGCTGCCTGGTGGGTTCGGGCTCCCAGCGACCCCGCGTGCAATGGAACAGCACAGCCTGGTCCTGGGCCACCCTCACAGCCAGTCCGTGCTTGGGCCACTGGGGCCACTGGGCCAGTCGATCGCTGCGAGGGTCTTCCTCTTTTTTTATTAAAAAAATAAAAGTAGTATGTTTTAACAGCTTAGGGTTAGGAAGTGAGGAAAAAAAAAAAAGTCTTAGCTTTGAAAACATAATTCAAAAAACTGTTATGACTTTTAATGATATATTCTTCCCTGTTAAATCTGCTATCATTTTAAAGAAAATGAAACAATATATAGTTTAAATGACAACATTTAAAAATGAGTTTGGAAAATGCTCAAGTCATCACCAGTGTTACTAAATATTGTTGTTGTTGTTGTTGTTATGTGCCATCGAGTCGGCCCCGACTCATAGCGACCCCTCCTTGGGTTTCCGAGGCAGTATCACTACGGAAGTAGGATTGCCCAACCTTCCTTCCGAGGAGTGGCTGGTGGGTTTGAACCGCCAGCCGTCTGGTTAGCAGGCAAGTGTCTTAGCCACTATGCTACCAGAGCTCCCGTTACTAAATATATATAACCTAAAATACATAACCTGTTACTAGATTCTTGTTGTTGTTATTTGCCATTGAGTTGGCCCCGACTCATAGCGACCCTTCCTTGGGTTTCCGAGGTGGTATCACTACGGAAGTAGATTGCCCAACCTTCCTTACGAGGAGTGGCTGGTGGGTTTGAACCGCCAGCCTTCTGGTTAGCAGTCAAGTGCCTTAGGCGCTAGGCTACCAGAGCTCCCTAGGCTAGGTTTAGGGCTAGGGTTATGGTTAGGGTTAGGATTAGGACCCTACCCATAACTATATGGTTATGAGGACCCCAAATTCAGATGCTATAAAGGGAAAGACGGTACATTTGGGCGGGGCACACACATACACACAAGCCCAAACATACGACTGAAACACAACAAAGTTGTGCAAGACTCCAAACCAACATGCACTGCAACTCTCTGCAATTTCTAAGATCTTTCTTCAAATCCATGAGCAAAAGACAACTCAGTCGACAAATGGGCAAACCATACGAATCAGTTTTCAGGTCAATAAATAAATAAATACATGAAACATACTGGTTTTCTCCTAGTTATAGAAATGCAAGGACCAACAAAGAGACTGCACTTTTCCCTCAGCAGATGGAGCAATGGCTGCAATGTCTGTGCAGACAAGGCGCGTGAGGGTGCGCACACCGAGGCCGGAGGTTTCCTTTGTGGACGATGACTGGGCAAGGCGGTGCAAGGCCACTAACGCCACAGCCTGTGACCACAGTCCCAGTGGGAGGACCTCCCACGGCCACACAGAGGTTATCAAGAGCTCACAGCAGGCTGGGGCTCAAAGGTAAAAATCAGAGAGAAAGACAAACTGCCCATGAAAAGCAAGCCAACCATTGTCCACCAAGAGCTGCAAGAGCCGGACCCTGCGAAAGGCGGAAAGCGGTCAGAGAAGGAAGACGCACTGGGCGTCCTGAGGTAGGATTCTTTTCTTTACTTACTTATTATTTTTCATCCTTGCAGTGTTCCCTCCCCTCCCCTCCCCCAACCAGGAAAGTTTCCATATATGAACCTGTCCATGACTATTTACGATAATGAACTGATGCCGTATTTGTCCTTCTGTGATTTGAGGTAGGGTTCTTAGCAAGAGCGGTAGCGAAGGGGTCTGCGCCCTGTCAAAGGTGCCTGCGAGACCGGGAGAACAAGGCAGCCCCACGGAGCTGCGCCGTCCACGGGCGGCTCGCGGCCCGTAAAGGGGCCCTTCCTGTGGGAAGACATTCAGGCACAGCGCCTACCACGGAAGGTTCCGGCGAGGCGTTAGAGGACCGAGAATCAGAGCGACCTGAGACCCACGCAGGGGGCTGAGGTGCCTGTAAAGGAACATCAGGCCTTTCGGGGAAACAAGAGGGGACCTGCGTGTCTGCAGCGCAGCTGTGACACCGAGTGGCCTCCCCGGTCACTCACAGTCCCGGCTGGGCTGGCCTGGACGACGTGACCCAAAGGCAGACGACCACAGTCATTAACAGAATGCCAGCCACCAACCTTTCTGAAAAGTCAAAGTGCCTGACAGCTCCCAGCCGCCCCGGAGGGCAGCCGAGGAGCGGGCCGCACGTGCCGGGCAGGACGCGGCGGCTTTGACGTTGGCCCGCTGCCTCGGGTTGTGTTTGGTGGAGCGGGTGGTTTGGGGCAGCATGGAGGGTCCCGGGACGGAGGCAAAGGCTGACGCTCTGGCTGGGGCCGCCCACAGTAGGAGGGCGGGACACCGTGTGGGGAGTGAAGGGGGCCCTCTCAGTCACGGTGAGAAGCCATTTCCTTCTGTGATGATGGCGTCAAATGGCAGGGAACAGGCCTTCGTCGTGGGCTGCCTGGACATAAGGTGGCTCTGCAGCCGCCCCTGGGAAGGAAGGCAACCCACCACTGCAGTGACGCCGCCTCGGAAACCAGGGAGGGGTCCCCAGGCCTCGGGGCCGACTCGATGGCAGTGATGGAGGGAGGGAGCTCGCAATTAAGAAATAATCTCAAATGTGACAGCAGGCATTAAGACAGAGATGAAAAAACCCACTGGTCCTCACTGAGTTGACTCCGGCGACCTGGCGTGTCAGGGTAGGACCGTGCTCCACAGCGCTTTCAACGCTGTTTCTGAAGTAGACAGCCAGGCCTCTCTTCAGAGCTTCCCCTGGCTGTGCCTGAACCTCCGGCCTTTGGTAAGCAATGGGTGGTGTTAACTGTTTACACATGTGTGAACTAGCTACTCAGTGTCTTAGGAATATGGTGCTAGCTCCAGATGCTACTGTGCAAGGTAAGTGGACAGACTCCCACTTCCTGTTAATTCTCACAGTGCTAGGAAGCAAGCACTGACTATTTCCCTGATTTCACTGAGAACCCATTAAACCCTGATTTCACTGAGAACCCATTAAACCCTGTTCTGAGGAGTCGATTCTGACCCACAGCGCCCCTAGAGGACAGAGTGGAACTGCACCACAGGGTCTCCAAGGCTGTCAATCTTCACAGAAGCAAAGCCCAAACCACACCCACTGCCGTGGAGTCCATTCTGACCCACAGCGCCCCTAGAGGACAGAGTGGAACTGCCCACAGGGTTTCTATGCTGTCATCTTTAAGCCAACTGACCACATCTTTGTCCTGGGGAATGACTGGTGGATTCAAACCACTGACCTTTTGGTAGCAGCAGCATTGTAAATGATGGTTTATGGGTATTTTACGGTTTAATTGCTCAGTGAAGTTATGAGACATGAGAAGAAAATGTGGTCGTCTGAGTTTAATATACCTATGTTTCCCCAAGTGTGAATACACTGTATGCATAAGTGTGAATACACTGTGTGCATAAATTCATGCTCATCTCCATGAACTCCGAGGGCCATAATCAAACACACAGGACGCAGGCTACCATCCACCTGGACCCATTTCCGTGGTTGTCTGCTTTGAAAAAGAACTGAACACAGTTGTCTTTCTCATCCCATCTTCTTATAGTTTAGCAACACTGTGAAAAAACCCACTGACATCAAGTCCGTTCCAACTCCCAGTGTAGCTTCAGGACCCAGGGGACCTGCCCCCAGGGGTCTCCAAGGCTTCAACTGCTACGGAAGCAGAGCGCTTCATCTTTCTCCTGTGGGGTGGGTGGTAGGTCCCAACCGCCAACCTTCTGGTCAGCAGGTGCTTTAGCTGTGCACCGGAGCTCCCAGCGACACTATAATTGCCTTTAAAAATGTCGTGCAGTAGGTAAGCGTGCACATGTTCGTGGCAGTGTTGACTTTAACCCACCGCCTTTTGTTGTCTTTGGTAAAACCGCAGGTGCAACGAGGCCATACATTTTTCAGTCAGTCTAAATGACAATGAGGGAAAAAAACTCTCCTTGAAGGAAAAAGGCTTAAAATAAGACAGACACACACCTACACATTCACCCCATCCTACAATCCTATTCTCAAGGGAGAAGAAGTAGTGCATGCTATTGTTTCGAACGAGCCCATGTTCCCTTGAGCGGAGCGCAGGGCAGTGGGGAAGCCATCTCTGTATTTCACAGGAGGGAGTCGCAGCCACTGTAAACCGACCGATCCCCGGCTGTTGCCGGTACAGTGTGGGGCTGGTTTAATCTGCTGTGTATTGTTGCCCATTGTCCCCAGGCACAGGCAAGTGTGACCGCGGCTGCACGGGAAAGCCTACATTTTAAATGGCTGTCATTAATGCTTTATTAATTGCCTGAGGCTATGCAAACCCCAAGCCGGGCAAGCTGTAACAATATGACACTTTAAGGTCAAATCCAATTCCTGCTGTGTTTTATGGGGTGGCCCAATATTGAGTTAACAGCGGGAAAGGCAATTCCTGGGCTTTTCGCTCTGTCTCCTGATTATTCCATCCAAGCGAGCCCGGAATGCTCTGCACGGAGACACCGTGCAGGGGGGGACGGCGTGCGAGAGCTCTGCGCCATTTTCCGGGAGGCTCAAATCTCGTCTTTAGGCTCCCTTCACGCGAGACCGATCGTATAATTAGAAAATGGGACGGAAGAGAACGGCAGTGCAAGATGTGTTACATGCTCGTTTGCATAAAAGAAACCAAACGGACGCACGTTTGGGAATCCAGCCGGCGTCTGTGAGTAAGACGGCCTACCTTCACGTCGGAAGTGTCCCTCTGGCTGGTTCTCCAAGACCGGGCCACGGATGAGAAGGTCCGATCGGGGTGGTCGAATTTTCCATCATTTGCATTGAGGAAGAAGGTTGTAAACGGTTCCTGAGCAGAAAACAAAATCAGGAGTTGGTTTGCTTGGTCTACACCGCGTGCCTCCCTCTAAAGTGCACCGTGACCGTCCCCGAAGCCCCTGTGAGGCCGGACCAACGCAGGGTCCTGGCAACGTGCCCAGGCCAGACAGCCGGGGCCGAGGGGCTCCGCAGCCCGGGCCAGGCATGCTGTTCCTCAGGCTTCTTCCTTCCGACCTGACAACCCACGGGGTCCTCACATTCTCCAACTGATGACAGGCATTTCTGCGTTCTGACCCATGCATGACTCAGAGCCTTTCCAAGAGATTTAAGGTCATGAGCGGTGCAAGGGGTAAGCGCCCGGCTGGCACCTGAAAGGCTGGCAGTTCGAAACCACCGATGTGACGGTACCCAACCACAACATAACAAAAGAACGGAACCGTCTGCTGTGGAGTCCAGCTGTGAGCCACGGGGACCGCACGTGTGAGAGACCACCGACCTTCTGGGTAGCGGTCAAGCCCAAACTGTTGGCAACACCAAAGGACCTTGATTTTATGATAAGTGACTTTGCATTACTGTCAATTCAGAACTCAGGCTTTCTTTTAATTTTTAAATATATATATATATAACTACTACTGTGATTTAGGTGAAAGTTTATAGAGCAAATTCATTTTCTGCACAGCAGCCCACACACGTTTTGTTCCATGGCATTGACTGCAAACCCCACAATGTCACGGTCCTCTTCCTACTTCCTCCCCGTGCTAACCTCTTCCCTGCATCCTTCTTCCCTACGCGGTGCATTCCTGCCCTCGGAGCTCTCCCCCTGGGCGAATGCCATCCTGCTCATCTCCCATCGCTGATCTTTCTATGAGCACCTCTCCGGGTGTAAACATTCACGCACATGCGCGCCTGTCTAGTGTTTGGCTGGAAGCCCGGGACTGGCTAACTAATGCACTGCCCTCAAGTCAGACCTGACTCATAGCGACCCCTCCTTGGGTTTCCGAGGTGGTATCACTATGGAAGTAGATTGCCCAACCTTCCTTCCGGGAAGCCCGGGAGTGAGTTCAATTCCAGGCCCAAAGGGTGACTCGGGGCCACGGTCTCGGGGGTCTCACTGGGCTTCATCAGACAAGGAAGCCTGGTCTTTTTCAGAATTTTGAGTTTTGTTCCACAGCGTTCTCCCACCACCCAGCATCTCCAATCTTGACCCCTTTCTGAGTGGTTGGCAGTAGTGGCGTGCACCAGCCGCTTCTAACTCTGGTTTTCCTGCTCATGTTGGAGGCCACGTGTATGAACACTGACATAAGACAGTCGTCTGCGGACTGTTCAGGGTCGTGTGGAATGAGGTAGGGAGTGCCCATCAGACCACCTGTGACGGTCTGTGGACTGATCAGCATCACATGTGTCAGAAGGCCTTTTATTATAAACTCCAAACATGCTTACAGCCTTGCGGCCGCTCATCAGACCTCGCGAGAGGTCGAACCTGCCGAGCGTGTCTTCCCAGGGTGCCAGCCTGGGGCCTTCTCCCCTGCATGTCTCTGTCACCCTCCTGTCTCACGCCTCATGTCACCTTCTCTCACTTCCTGCCCTTTGTATGTGACGCGCCCTCCCTATCCTGACCTGACGGCTTCTTCATCCTTGGACTCTCAGCCACCATGGCCGTGTTCTCCTGACAGACTCCCGTTGGCCAGGGACCCGGCATGTGCCCACGCTCTTGCTGACTGCCGGTAAGGTGACTCTAGCGACCCCATGTGATGGAGAGGAAGTCTCTCAGAGGGTTTCTCAGGTGGTGCTCACAGGAGCTGATCCCAGGTCTCTGTCCCATGGAGCCACGGGGTGGGTCTCAACACATAATCATTTGGTTAGCAACCAAGTGCTCAACTTTCTGGGCCACCAGGGCTCCTAACAGGAAGCTGGGCTTCCTTAAACACAGCACCGAAGAGGCTGTCACGCGGCTCACTAACTGATGAACCTGTCCGTGTTCTTCACTAGACGGGCAACCTCCACGTCTATCATGTTGTTTTCAGATGCCGTTAAGCCGGCTCCAATGCGGCGACCCTGTGTACAACACAACGTCTGTCTTAGTCTCTGTTTTATCTCCAACGGTTACATGGCTCCAGTACGTGGAGGTAGCTCAGTGTATAACGGACCCAGTGAGGGCACGAAAGAAAGGCCGAATGAGACAAATACTTTAGACACTGCCACCATTCTGTGACGATTCCCCGTCACCCAGGACTGGGCCCCACAGCGAGACCTAGAGAGAACCATGTCAGGAGCTCCTCACACATTCAGCGTTCGCGCTTTACATTCAAAGACGCATCTGAGTCAGACAGGCACCCAGGAGACCGAGCTGTCGGGTAAGACTATGAGCTTTGTGAGAGACAGAGATGCCGCCCAAATTAAGTTAGGGGGGAAAAAATGCATGCGATGCCTCTCAGGAATTAATTTGAAGACTTTTAATTCACTATCAAACATATGTGTGTCTGATCACTAAATTAATTTAATTAAAAAGGCAATATAGAAATCCTAGAGGCAGCGGCAGAAAACTGAATGAGATACGACAGTTCTAAGTGTGTATCTAAAGAGATCTGGTGGCACAGTAGTTAAAGCATTGAGCTGCGAACCTGCAGGTCAGAAGTTGGAACCCACCAGTCGCGCCACAGACAGATGAGGCACTCTACTTCCGTAAAGACTGACAGCTTGGGAAACCCTATGGTGCAGTTCCACTCTGTCCTCTAGGGGCGCTGTGGGTCAGAATGGACTCCACAGCAGTGGGTGTGGTTTGGGCTTTGCTTCTGTGAAGATTGACAGCCTTGGAGACCCTGTGGTGCAGTTCCACTCTGTCCTCTAGGGGCGCTGTGGGTCAGAATGGACTGGCGGCAGTGGGTGTGGTTTGGGCTTTGCTTCTGTGAAGATTGACAGCCTTGGAGACTCTGTGGGCAGTTCCACTCTGTCCTCTAGGGGCGCTGTGGGTCAGAATCCCCTCCAGGCACTGGGTGTGGTTTGGGCTTTGCTTCTGTGAAGATTGACAGTCTTGGAGACCCTGTGGGGCAGTTCCACTCTGTCCTCTGGGGGTGCTGTGGGTCAGAATGGACTCCACGGCAGTGGGTGTGGTTTGGTTTGGTGAGTGTGTGTCTTGGAGGGAGTATTACTATCTTAGATAAGGGACTTTCTCTCTCATTTACAAAATTCTGTCTCAGACCCTTCATCTATGTAAACTGAGGATGATAAAACCTTTTGGGTAATTACGGGAATTAAATAATGGAGTAAGATAATATAGAGAAAGCTCGAAGTGCCTTTCCTGACAGAGTTACAATGATTGCCAACTGTATACACAGAGCCAGTTGTGTACTGCTGGAGTCCCGCACACTGGGTCCACAGACGCTGCCACCTGACTTTAGTGCCTTCAGTTCTACTGGCCCCTGTGTCCCCGGCACTGACCACAATTCTGGGCTTATACTGGGTAATAAATGTGTGTTGAGCACAAGTGAACACATCAGGTACTATGGTGATGGGGATATAGGTAAGAGCAAAATGTTTAATACAATGTATAGTTTTTTAAATAATATAAGTATGTTGTTGTTGTTGTTAGGTGCCGTCAAGTTGGCCCCGACTCATAGCGACCCCTCCCTGGGTTTCCGAGGCGGTATCACTACGGAAGTAGATTGCCCAACCTTCCTTCTGAGGAGTGGCTGGTGGGTTTGAACCGCCAGCCTTCTGGTTAGCAGTCAAGTGACTTAGGCACCACACCACCAGAACTCCCAATATAAGTATAATATAAACATAATGTGTCTTTAACACATGCAGTCCCTGGGTTACGAATGTCTGACTTTGGAAAACTCGCAATGGCCCCTTCACACAGGGTTTCAAACCACTGCTGTGGCGGGAGACAAAACGAAACAGGAGCAGACCCCAAAGCTGACCATTTCAGTGATTTGTCCCAGTAATCACTGTGGGAAAACTACAGGGTGAGCCCTTGGAATGGGAGACTTGGGAGAGGCACCGTGAGCCCTGCCAGGGGCCTGTCGTGCAGCCCTGGATTCCTGTCAGGACTGTGGAGAGCCACCCACAAAGGGGTGGTGGGCCGCCATCTTTGAGTGAGGGCACCTCCGGGATGCCTTGCTTTCTTTTTTGTTCTAACTCTTCACTGCGGTTTGGGTGAAGGCCCACAGAGCAAATTCACCCTCCACACAGTAGCCCACACGCACCGTGCACGACCCCGCCTTTAACCTCCGACAGGGCAGCAGCTCCCCTCCCACCTCCTCCCCACGGCCACGCACCCCTGTGTCCCCCCATGCACTCTCGGCCCCCGAGCTGTCTCCCCGTGCACACACAGCCCCTCCACCCCCCATCACCGATCTCTGCAAGGAGTGCACCCACCTAACACAAATGCCCCGCCCGTATGCCTGTCTTGTAATGTTATGTCAACTTGCCCTTGCCTTGAAACGACCACACAACCCCTCCTTGCAACAAATATTTCATCACAATTACCCTCGCTTGCTGTACACGCAGCTTTTAAATCAATGAAAGGCTTTGAGCCTCTCCTCGCACTAAAGTGCGACCAAAAGAGAACCGCGTGGACCTGTTCCAACTGATCCACAAACTCTTAGACAGTTAGGAACTCGTTCATACTCCGGGGACTGCCTGTCAAAGGAAAAACAGAGTTTCTTTCCTGTCTAAGTCACTGCTACATGTCTCACCAAAGACTGTTGTCAGGAGCCGTGGAGTCAGCCTCACGCAGAGCGACCCTGCGTACAACGGAATAGAACACCGCCCCGGCCTGTGCCAGCCTCAAGTGCATGACACATAACGTTGTTGCTGTCGTCAGGAGTCGTCGAGTCAGCCCAACTCAGAGCGACTGCGTGTACAGCACAAGACACCGCCCGGGCCTGGCCAGCCTCGTGACCACTGCCACGCTTGAGCCTGTCGTGGCAGCCACTGTGCCAGTCCGTGTCGTGAGCCTCCTCCCTTCACCCAACAATCTTCCCAACTCTGGGATGCTGACGGAGGACACGTGTTTTCTCTTCTAGGCAG